ATGGAATTAATACTTAAAAATCTACAACATGAGACGTAGTACGTCGAGCGAAATAATCCAAACAAGGAAACCCTCATGTATATACCATATGTCTCAAATGTAGATAATTAATTATTAACCCCGATCTATGTATGAAAAGAAGCACAACTGTCCTACATCTCACAATAATCCATACCTAGCCAGGTAACGAGGTCATCTAACTAGTCATTGTATAACAGGTCACTGGTCACATCTCACACAGAGTCAACGCTCCTGTCATCGGATAACTGGCTGTTCACAAATCCCCTACGCGCATCCAATACCGCTACACGAATCGGTCAGAGGACTACACGCAATCCGATTTCGGCCTGGTCCGAACTCAAGCAGAACTCGGGTGACTACACAAATTCACTGACTAAAGTGACTACACGAATTCACTTTAGCCCAACAAACCAACCCCAGTGACTACACGAATTCACTGGTGCGAGCCTGGAAGATACATCAACAGTCTTATCCGATCACATGAACCATGACTTTCTCCATCCCAACTCTTTTGTTTATCAAGGTCAACATACACACAGATTTCTATGTCTTAAACAGGACACACCAGACCACACTAGTCATGAATTTCTAACGGTTCTCAAACGTAACAAAGAGTAATAACTGCAACTAATCATATTCAACAATATCATAGCATATCACATAATTAAAATTAAGAAACATAAATCATTCATAATAATCCCTTTTCTAAAGTAAATCTTTTAAAAATATTTATAAATGTTCTAAAACAATTCTTTTTATAAAACTTTCTTGAATTACTGAAATTATTCTAAATTGATACTTATTCTAAAATAAATTCTTTTAAATTATTTATAATTATTCTAAAATAATTCTTTTGTCAAATAAATTCTATTGTTTTATTATAATTACTCTAAAATGATTTTTCACCAAAATAATTTATTATAATTATTTTAAAATGATTATTTTGTCAAATAAATCCTTTAAAAAAATCATAAATTAATCTAAAATAATTTTATCTTATTTTATCTTTATAGTATCTATTATCAAAATATTATTTTTAGTATCATTCGTCAAATAAATCCGTACAGGTCATCACCGTATATGTATTACAATGTGAATGGTCATACGTTATTGTCTACAGTCCGTTTCGTTCATGACAGTTCTATACGTTATAGTTCTCAGTCCAATATGTTCACGACAGTTCCGTATTTGTAACGAATAATTATTCGGGTAACGAGTTCGTATGCATAATAAATTTGTGATCAATCTAAAATTATACTGAGCAAGAATAGGGATCTTGCAAGCAGCTAATTAAATCAGGGCGGATCTAAGAATTGGATGATAAGTCAAAGAGTATCGGGATCTTGCCTCGGGGTCTCGTCGAATGGTTCGATGGCGTTGAGCGAGTTGTGTGCTTAGCGTCGGAGCTGAGCGCGGGGTGGTCGCGGCGGCGGATCACGCGGAGGCGGCGGTGGTCCGGTGGCTGGGGTTGATTTCGTTTGGATTTTCTGGAGTTGAGGGGAGAGAGAATAAATGACAGTAAGAGAGAGAGAGTACGAAAGAGAAGAAGAATAAGAGGAGAGAGAGGGAGATTGGAGAGAGAAAGGCTGGATTTGAGATATTATTGGAGAGAGAATCACGGAAATCAAGTGGGCTAGTATGGTATGAGAATAAACTTGATTATGAGGTGATTAGGGAATTGATTGGGGAGAATATGGAAGGAATTCAAATTCAAATTAGAGGAAATTAAGAGAGGGAAAATAAATTCGAAAATTTTATATAATATTCTGAATAAATATTATGTTAATAAATAATATTAATAAATTATTAATAACTAAATATATTTATATTTATATGCTAATCTATGCTCAGAATCACATTAATAATAATAATATAGATGATATAAGTGACCAAATGATTATGAAAAATTCACTAAATCATAAATTAATATTTAGCAAAAATAATAAATACAAGATTATGTATTTTATTTATTTATTTTGAAACTCAGAAAATTTCTAGAAATTAGGAAAAGTATTAATAAAATATAATATAATATTATAAATACTAGAAAAAATTATTTAAATACATATCAAAATTTACGGTTGTTACAAAAGTGTTGTTCTCTTCATCACCTCTTTCTTGTGCAAATCAAGCTTCTTCTACGGAATTGGTAATTATCCTTATACTTACACTCCTTTGCATAGTGGCCATATCTATGACATATATAAAATTCAGGGTTTGGTTTATTAAAAGTTCATCTACCATGTCCAAAGCCTCGACCTTGACCTCGGCCTCGATCTTATCCCTGAAAATTTGAATCTGATTGATAATTGCTTCTTTGGTTGCAATCATCTCTTTGATTGTTGTTGCAACCACCACGTCCTCAATTGTTGTAGTAGCTACATCCTCGGTTGTTGTAGTTATTGTATCATCATCCTCTGCCTTAAAACTTTCCTCCTTGCTGGTCTCTTTCATCCTGCACTCTTTTGTTATTTTTTATGCAAGCTTGACTTTAGAAAGCTTTCTCAAGAGGCTTCTCGATTGACCTCTCGCTCATGTGTTGCTCATGAACTTGTAGGGCACCCATCAATTTATCAGCCGTCATATTGGATAAACCCTTCGATTCTTCGATTGCCACCATGATATGACCAAATTTTTCTATAAGGGATCGCAATATCTTCTCCACAATTATTAAATCTACAACCTTCTCCTTATTTGTTTTTATTTGATTTGTCACAGCAAGTACTCGAGTCACATAATCTGCAACACTTTCAGCAGATTCCATCTGCAAAATTTCAAATTAACATCTCAAGATTTGAAGCCTGACTTTTTACAACATTTCAACTCCACGACAAGATGTCTCCAAAATATTCTATTTTTGCCTTGCCGTAGTTGCTTCATCGGTTTTCTCAAAAATTGAATCATTCATTCCTTGATGGATGAAGAATAATGCCTTCCGATCCTTCTTCTTGTTCTCACCATGGGCTTTCTTCTCGGTTTCACTTGTGCTCTCTATGACATTGAAAACTCCGTTCTTTACAACATCCAATATATCTTGATTTTCGAACAACACTTTTATCTGCATTCTTCACCGTTGATAATTCCTCCCATCCAATGTAGGAATAGAAAGCGACGTCATCCTGGTCAAATTATTCATGGCTCTGACACCACTGTTGCACGAACTAGCAAAAATTAATTATACATATAATATTGAGAGGAGAAGGGATGGAGAAACAAAAGGGAACCAAATATTTTACTCACTCTCTCTCTACTTTTTTTTAGAGGGTGCAGGGACGCATGAGCCTTTTTAAAGGCTTACAAATCAATCAATTAAGAATTCTAATAAAATAGTAACTCTAAAAGATGAAAGGTTTATCAACTATTAAACTTAATTTCTAAGTAACTTGATAAGAACTAGTTTCTAGATATTAAAACTTCTAAAGACAATAAACTCAAAAACTTTCTAGAATCGGGATTAACTTCAACAATACATAGTACATTCAAAATCCTTATTTTCGATCATATATAACCCAATGCTTTGAGTTATTTTAATCTTAGAAACTTGACTCTGAGATATACATTATCATCCGACACATCTCATCCAAGCTACCAAATAAAACAATCAAAAAGAGAAAACATTTTTTTTAACTAAAATGAATAAGATGTCGCAACAACATGAAGTCTAGTCTTTTTACGGCTAGTAATCCCTGGCGCTTCTTGCATGCACATCACTTCTGTTTTCGCCGCGTCAGATACATGCCAATCAAAATAACATACAAGATTCGCCAATGCAATTTCTATAACGGACATTGCAAACTGAATCCCCGGGCAAATCCTCCGACCGAAACCAAACGGTATGAGCTGAAAATCCCTCCCTCTGAAATCCACATTGCTATTCAAAAATCTCTCCGGTCTAAATGCAGCAGGATTTTGCCAATACTTAGGGTCTCTACCAATAGCCCAAGCGTTGACTATAACCGTTGCTTGTTTGGGGATTTTGTAGCCTTGGATTCGAGTGCTCTCCGTGAGTTGACGTGGGATTAGCAAAGGACCCGGAGGGTGAAGCCTCATGACTTCCTTAATTACGGCTCTTAAGTAGTTCATCTCAACCAAGTCATCTTGTTTTAATATTGTTTTTGAGGTACCTTTAGCTTTGCTTCTCACCTCATTTTGTAATTTCTTCATTACTTCTGGGTTTTTGATAAGCTCTGCCATTGCCCATTCTAAAACTATGATCGTTGAATCTGTTCCCGCACCGAACATGTCCTGTTTAAATCACATAGGGAAATGTGCAGAGTAAATAAACAATAAAGTCCATATATAATGGGATATACATAGAAAATAGGGGTAAATGGTGTACATGTTTTGGATACATAAAGTATGATGATAAATATTGAAATGATGGAGTGTTGCTCAAGTTACGGAAGGTTAGTATGAGATGTGATAATCATTTTCTCTAAAGATGTACTCCACCCCACTTGGTAATCCAAGTTTGATTTGGGTTAATAGGAATTCTCTTTTCAGGATCTAATAAATTGTAAAAATTTCAAAAAGAAAATTTGAATTTTTTTTAGCAATTCTCTATTGATCAAGTTTGTAACTGAGATTTGAAATTTGGAGATGTATCCCATTAACATGATTGGAAAAAAAAAGTGTCTTCACAAGACATGAATTTTCAAATAGACTTATAACATAAAAATTATTAAATAAAAATAAATCGTACTCCCTTTAAAAGTGGGAGTTGTGAAAAAACTTTTCAATGACTATATTACCCATATTCCTTTTTAATATTACATTGTAATACTAACTAAACTAAATTAATTATCATTGTTAATTAATTATATTATATGTCACTTTAAATTTGTATAATTTGGTCCCTAAAACTTCCAATTGTTATTGTAAAACTGTACATCATATTAATTATTAGTAATGTATAATAATATATTAATAGATAATTGCATGTTTATATATTATTTATGGGAAGAATAGAAAACATAGAATTGTCCTAAAATTATACCATGACACTCATATAGGAAAATTACAAAGAACATTCTTATGTTTACGTAAAAGAACAGAAGGTACAAAAATAAAATTTTAGAAAACATTAGGATATTTAAGCACAACAAGATGCGCTATCTAAAATTTAAAAAAATGCAACAAGATATAAGTGGAGGTATATATGTATAATCTTTGTAAACTATAAGGTATTTAAGTTTGGTTATGCCTATAAAAGAGTTGAAACCTTTGTTACCCACAACCAATAATACATGATCCCATTGATAAATAATATTCATCATATAATATTATGAGGCCGCATGCATAGCTCATATTTATATAGTAAATGAGATGTGGAAAAATTAAAGCATCGTATTTTGAATGAGTCTCAAGATTCTGAATTATTTCCTGAAATTATATACTTCATTTAGAAAACTTTAGAAGAGGTTTTTGAAGGACTGCTGCAAACTGTTGGACATCGGATATATATTGAACAAATAAAATCCATGATATTGTATTACAAAAATCTGGGATATGTATATAATACAAGGTGTGATATGAGATAATATTCATACATAACATGACATTGTAATATGTAATCTAACATATTAATGAATTTTAAACATAGGAATTTACATCAAGATATATGCTTAAGATTTGGGAGAGCCGAGAGTGGAGAGATTTAGGAGAAGAATTGTAGCTTTTTGTGGGTTTTGTGAGTTCCGATTTTGTTTCCTAAGTACGATCCAAACCCGATCCCACAATCAAATTAAAAATGACATGATTTTCTCAATATCTTCAAAGGGATATATCAGCCATATTTTCGATTGCTGTTGATATACAAAAAATCACTAAACAAAAGAAAACAATATAAATATTATCGATATAAAGTCTTTAACACGATATATTAACCGATGTAGCAATATATCGGCCGATATTAATACAATGCCTATGAGAGCAAATATGTAAAGATTATTTAGATATTAGTTTCTTGATTTTAAATATCTAATAATTCAATGTTATTCCCTCAAAATTTTGAAATTGTTCATAATTTTAGGGACTAATATTAAATTATTAAAATTTTGAGGGACAAATTATAAATAGGCCATATTTAAAAGAAGAATTAATTTTTAAAAAACTCTCTCAACTATGGGGATTGTCTTAAAAACGCACTCAATTGATTCAATTTGACAAAACTCCCTTATTATGAGGGGTGTTATGGATAACCCCTCTCAATTTTGGTGCACTTTAGAAAAAACATCTCAACTATAGCGTATCTTATAAAAACTCCCCTAATCATTTACACTTCTATCGACAAACCCCATTAACATAGTTACTTCAATATGTAATTTGGACAAGATACCCTCTTGAAGAAAGCAATTTTATTTAAAAAGAAACACTCAACTAATAATAAAAGGACCATAACCAATTTACAATTCCTTTTCCCTCTACGTCACCTCTTATTCTTCCATCTGGCAAAAACCAAGGTAATTCTTTTATGGTTGATGGGTATTTTGGTCTTTCTAAGTCAAGTACTTATCACATAATAGATAAGACTCAATGATATTAGTTTTGAGAGGTTTGGTTTAAATTAAAAAAAAAAAGTTCGGATGGGTTAAATCAATTTTTTTAAAGTTGAGATAAATTATCTAAAAAACACCAAAAACTTGGTGAAAATTTACTCGGTTTTAAATATTTGCGGGGTGGGGGGGTGCATATTGAGGGGGTGTTTTCTAAAATTAACCCTTAAACAAAAGCACAAGTTAAAAAACATGTGATATCAATTTTATAAGAGTGAAGTTTATAGCAAGTCTATCACTCAATGAACTGGTTTGGGCTATTTGTCCTTAAATTTATCCTACACATCAACTCTAAAAATCTTTTTCTATAAGAATCTCTAAGAGAAATTTAATATTTACTTGGGATGGGTATGTGATCCTTCTGATTCCCTTGTTTTTCATGATTTGTAATAAATTATTTGACTTTCATTTTATATTACTCGTCTTCTTATAAGTTTATGAAGCTTATAGCTTGCATATGAGTATTGTTGCGGATATTGTATTCTTCTAACTCCTTAAGCTAAATTTTGGATGTTGTTTGACACTGGATAGATATAAATTATTTTATTAAAATACAATCAATTTGAGTGCATAATATGTAAAAATCATTCTCAGACTATATTTTATAATTTTTTGAAACTAGAGAATGATCGTTTTGACAGATTAATTAGTAGTTGGGAAGATGTAAAAAGAGTACAATATCATAACTTGGAATTGATCACATGGTTTATGTTTTCTTTCTTAATTGAATTTTCACATTCTATTGGAAAATTCTAGAAAAAAAGTTCTTGAATATCTATAATACTCAGTCGCCGGATAAACAACAAGTGAAAGAAAACAACACGTGTAAGTGATTTTTTTTATAACTGAACAAAATCCTTGATGACTAGAAAAAACCTACCATTATTCTTGGATGAATTCAATAATTTATTTTTTTTCATTAATAATAATAGTTTTTTTTCAGTATTGGTCCCTTACATCATTAATATTTTGAAATTATACATTCAAATTACTAATTAATATTAATATTTTAAGGCTTTAAACATAGCTATTTCTCTGGAAGACAAAATGCTAAACCCACACATGGAAATATCCAAAAACGTTTAACATATTATGATAATTATAAAGTTTTTTGCAACTATGTTATAGTAAATAAATAAGCTTAAAGTAAATAATTAAAATATTTGATCACGTGCAGTGCACATGCGTTCCACTTAGTTTCTAATAAACTTGCTACTGCATCTGGGTTTCTTTGCTAAGTTTTGGCCCAATTATAAAGGAACAATATTCATTTAATGCTTATAGACCATTTAAAATTAGCTAAGTATGTATTAGCTCAAATATCTGATGTGAGATTATTGTCTTTTACAAGCAAATACTAACACAGAATAGTAACAATGTAAGAGAAAGACGAGCTTGAAAAGGAAATTTAAGATCCAAAATTTCTCTTGTACTGGTTAAGGAGTAAGAATTCTGATTTACATATATATTATAGTTTAATTATCCAAGAATAATATAACAAATTATAATAAAGTTATACATTTTGCATATACAAGAATGCTGATAATTCTATAAAAAAAAGGATGCTAATAAAAATTTCAATATTGTCTTTTTAATCTAATAATAGATCTAAAACACATTTAATGCATATATATTATCCATTCTAACATCGACTAAATTTAAACCTCAACTACTCACTTATTAATTATTTGTTGTCAGACAACATTAATAAGTTTGAGTTTCACTTTAATAATCGGCATGAAAGTTCATTTAACCATAAAAAATTCCCCAATGATCCAAAATATGAGACCAAAAAGGAGGACAGATGAGGTGTCCCCCTCCTATTGCATAATGACCTGGCCATCATTAGTGATGGCCAACTTATTATGCAATAGGAGGCGGACTTATCACCTATCCTCACTGTTGGTCCTATATTTTGGGTCTCTGTAACAAGAATTTAAGTTGATTATGGAAACTTAATTATTGAATTAAGTTCCTCCATTTAAAACTTTGGACAGATGCCTACTTCCTACCATGCCCATCAATGAGACATTGTTACACAATATTGCAAGTGTTGCAGTGTCATTTTCATTCAAATTGAAAAGAAAAAAAAACAACAATGTGACTATACAAGCATGTTTGGATACTACTTATTTCTTGAATCCTTATAACTTATTCATTACTTATTCTCAAAAATCCTTATAAATCATACTCCCTTTAAAAGATGGAGTTGTAGAAAAACTTTTCAAGGACTATATCACCCCTATTTTTTTGATATTACATTCTAATACTAACTAAACTAAATTAATTATCATTGTTAATTAATTATATTATATATCACTTTAAGTTTGTATAATTTGGTCCCTAAAACTTCCAACTTTATTGCAAAAATATACATCACATGAATAGATAATTGCATGTCAATAAAGTATTTATAGAAAGAGTAGAAAATATAAAATTGTCCTAAAATTATATCATGAAACTCATATAGGAAAATTACAAAGAGCATTTTTATGTTTGGGTAACAAGACAGAAGGTACAAACATTAAATTTTATAAAACATTAGGATATTTAAGTGCAACAAGATACGTTATCTAAAATTAAAAAAAGTGCAGCAAGATACAAGTGGAGGTATACAAGTATAATTTTGGTAAACTATAAGGTATTTAAGTTCAGTTAAGCCTATAGAAAATTTGAAACCTTTGTTATCCA